TATGTCCTGGATTTGGGCTTTTATTTTGGTGATCTGGATTCTTCTGCTGAAATTAGGGTTTTTGTGATCTTGCTTTTCCAGCTTCCTTAGGTGGCTTCTTAGGTTGTTAATTTGTGATCCTTCCATTTTCTTCATGTGCATTTGTAGGGATATAAATTCCCCTCTTTCTACAGCTTTCATGGCATCCCAGAGATTTTGGTAAGATGTTTCTTCATTTTCATTTGTTTCCAGGTATCTTTTGATCTCTGTTTTGATTTCATCATTGACCCAGGAGTTGTTTAGCATCATGCTGTTTAGTGTCCATGTCTTTGTGGGTTTGGGGAGGACCTTTTTGGTGTTAATGCTTATTTTTATTCCACTGGTCCAAGAAGATGCATGGTAAAATTTCAGTCCTTTTAAATTTGCTTATGCTTGACTTATGGCCAAGTATGTGGTCGTTCTTAGAGTACGTTCCATGTGGTGATGAGTAGAATGTGTATTCTGTGGTCTTTGGATGGAGGGTTCTGTAGGTATCAATTAAGTCTATTTGATCTAGAGTCACATTGAGGTTCCTGATCTCCTTGCTGATTTTTTTGTCCTGATAATATGTCTAGGGTTGTGAGTGGGGTATTAAAGTCCCCAGCTATGATGGTATTGGAGTTGATATCTTTTTTTAGTTTACCTAGGAGCTGCTTTATGAAAGTTGGTGCTCTTATGTTGGGTGCATATATGTTTAGGATGGATATTTCTTGTTGATGGATTGAACCTTTTATCATTATGTAGTGGCCTTCTATATCTTTTTTAATTTTTGAGAGCTTAAAGGGTATTTTGTCTGAGATTAAGATACCGACTCCTCCTTTCTTTTGTGTTCCATTCGCCTGAAAATTTGTTTCCCATCCTCTTACTTTGAATCTGTGAGTGTCCTTTCTAGTGAGTTGAGTCTCTTGAAGGCAATAGATTGTTGCCTGGTGATGTTTTATTCATTTTGTCATTCTATGTCTTTTCAGTGGTGCATTTAGTCCATTCACATTCAAACTAATTATTGAGATGTGAGAGTTGATCCCTATCATAATGTTCTTACAGAGTTGTTGTTCTTCCTGTTTGAGTGTTGTCTTTCTTTTGGTTTTAGAGTTGGATCATGTGTGATTTTAATGTTTTGCCTGTACTCTTGTGAAGAACGTTGTTGTTCTTTTTTCCTTTCCTTCTATGTTCAATACTTTCTTAAGTGTTTCTTGTAGAGGTGGTCTGGGGGCAGCGTAGATTGGATATCTGGGGAAGATTTCAATTGTCCCTCACTGATGAAGCTTAGCTTGCCTGGGTAAGTTATTCTTGGTTGAAATTGTTTATCTTTTAGTACTTTGAAGATAGAGCTCCAAACTCTCCTAGCCTGGAGGGTTTCTGTAGATCAATCTTCTGCTATTCTAATTGGTATTCCCTGGTAGTTAGTCTGACCTTTTTCTCTTGCAGACTTTAGGATTTTTTCTTTTATACCTACTTTGTTTAGGCAAATTATTGTATGTCTGGGAGTTGGTCTTCTCATTTGTTGTCTTGCAGGGGTTCTCTGAATCTCTTGTGTTTGAATTTTTTCATCCTTGATGAGATAAGGGAAGTTTTCTTGAATGATTTCGTGAAATGTTTGTTCCAGTGTGACCTCTGTTTCTCTGTCTGCCACAGGAAGCCCAATTACTCTTAGGTTCGGTCTCTTGAAGTGTTCATTCATCTCTTGAATATTTTGTTCTGTCTTTTTGAGCTTCTTTTCTATGCTTGTGACAGTTTGGGTTCGTTCTGTGTTTTGGTCTTCAAGCTCTGAGATTCTTTCTTCTGCTTGGCTAATTCTGCTTTCGATGCTTATTAGTTTGTTATTTATTTCCATCACAGTATTCTTTACTGCTGTTATTTCTGACATCAGCTCCTTCTTGTTTTCCTCTTGTCTCTCCTCAATTTTTTTAATTCTCTCTATTAATGTCTTGATGTCTGGATTTGTTGCATGTGACCTGTCATTCTGGGGGCTCTTCATTGTTTATGTTCCGGAATCTGTTTTCCCAGTGTCTGATCTCCCAGGGGTCTGTGTGAGACCTATATTCTTCTTTTGGTTTTTCTTCATTTGTGCAGCTTTTCCCCCTCCCTACTTTTTCCTTCCCTCCATGTCAGCATCTTCTTTTATTCTGTTATTCAGGGCTGGAGGGGTTGTTTTTACTCTGTTTTTTCAATCTCCTATTCTTCTTTATGTATGTCCTCTTACTTTGTTCAATTCTGGAATTGCACTGTAGGTTGTGGGTGGTCCTTTTTGCAGTTTTGAGATTTACTTAAGGGGGGAGCTGTGATTCAGAATCTATCTGCAGGTCCTGGTATCCACTGACAGGTGTATGAATAATCTGAAACCCACTTCTCACTGCCTTGGAATCTGTCCATGCAGTGGGGTTGTAGGTTTACTCCCTGAAATAAAATGTGGTTAACAGAGGGAAGAGATGGAGCAGGCAGTGGCGGGGGGGGGGGGGAAGAGGGGGGTGAAGAGATAGAGGAGTAAGGGTGAAAACAGATAAGTGTACCAACAAATGGAGAGAGAGACAAAAATGGAAACATATAAAAACAATAGACCATGGCTACAAACTAACCAACTCCCATATCAAAAAAACTAAAACATACAATGTTGCTAACATACAAGCTTACCAACCTCCTTATTGGTGTGCTATTCCTCTATACAAAGATATGGTTTACAGAGAGAACAAGATAAAAGAAGGGGAAAAAAGGAGAAAAAAAGAGGAGGAACAAAACAGAAGGAATAGAATCAAGTTAGTAGACTAACAGAACCAATAAAGCACACTCTGAGACTTTTCATTTAAGACGAATGTCCTTTCAGCTCTGCTTTCTAGCTGTCTTTTCAAGCTGGTCAGTTTGTTCACAGTTAGGATCAGTTGTCCCTGGCCTGCTGTGAAGGGCAGTTCAGATCATCACTCAGTTCATCACTGCCCCGTTCACTACTCAGATCTGACCTGTGTCTGTCAGGCTTCCATTTTTCCCCTTTCAGTGTTGTTACCTTGAATCCCCAGCAGGTGCTCCAGATGGTCTTTATCACAGCTGCTCTCCCACCCCTAAGGGGAAGGAGATGTTGCCTGGAGGCACACAAGTTGAGACCCACAGCCTGGCAGGACGTCCAGTGGTAGTAGACCTCAGGAGATCTTGCTCAGAGGGGCTTCAAGGTCTGAAGTCATGGATCGCCTCAGGCACGGGCGTGCAATGTGTAATGGCTGCCTTGGTGGTGGTGGCTGTGGCTCACCTCAGGCACTGACGGTCCAAGGTGGAATTGCTGTTTCGGCAGTGGCAGCAGCAACAGCGGCAGCAGTGGCTGGCCTCAGGTACAGGCGGAGCGATGTATAATGGCTGCCTCGGAGGCGGCGGCAGCGGCTCACCTCAGGCACTGGCGGGGCGATGTGGAATGGCTGCCGGCCATGGTGGCAGTGGCAGCAGCGGCAGCAGCAGCAGCCACAGTAGCTGCCCGGACTGCAGTGATGCCTCAGCGAGGTCTACGGCCGAGCTCTGAGTGAAGAGCAGGCTGCCAATGATGGGATCTGCAGCCTCCAGGGAGAGAACCAGATTCTCTTTATGATCTCCTCGGTGGAGAGTCTCACAGACCAAGCTGTCCCATTACCATCTTGCCAGAAGTCGATAGTCATTTCAATTGGCCACTTCAACATGAAAAAGTAGTCAGCTGGTGCTTAGTAAATGTTTGTTGCAAAGTTAAAATTTCTTACAACTATTTACATAGAAATATAATATTTTAAAACATGAAAGTGCCCTAGAAAATCTTAAATACAGCCAGCTCGGTGTTCAACCTATAATCCCAGCATTTTGGGAGGCCAAGGCGAGTGGATTACCTGAGCCCACGGGTTCAAAATCAGCCTGGGCAACTTGATGAGATCTTGTCTCTGCATTAGTTAAAAAAAAAATTAGCCAGGCATGGTAGTGCGCATCTGTAGTTCCAGTTACTTGGAAGATTGAAGTAGAAGGATCGCCGGAGCCCAGCAGAGCCCAGCTGGTAGACACTGGGATGGCTGTGAGCATGCCACTGCACTCCAGCCTGGGCGACGGAATGAGACTCCAACTCAAAAAAAAAAAAATCTTAAACACCAGGGTCTAGTTTAAAATATCTTCAATTTGCCTACATTCAACCCATAATCAAATCTTAAGAACCCTATAATGAGAATAAGTTGACCAATGTGTACTTAATTATTAATGAGAAAATATTCAGGAGTAAATTCTTTCCTGATTTATTTTTATGTTGTAAAGAATAGAAAGTTAGTTTTTGAAATCAGAAAGTTAGCTGGAAGTAATCCTAGCCATTTTATAATGAGAAAAATAAGTCACAGAAGTGACTTTTTGTTAAGTGACATTCTTAAGATGTCACGATTAACCAGAAACTTCAGGACTAGACATTCCCTTTGTATGTTAGGAGGAACAGAAAGTACCCAGTTCTTAGGATACCCAAAGGAGGCAGAAGGACTTAATCCATGACCTGACACCTTGCTTCAAGGGGTGTTACTGCCAATAAATAGCCACGTAGAGTATGCTGCTTCTCTCTTCATTACAGAATATTTACCCCAGAAATCAATTATTTAGCCAATATGCAACCAAATACATTATAAATTTCTTCACTGTTACAATAATCACAAAGAGATATACATTGAAACGTCTACAAGCAAATTTCCATGAATAAAGAAAATTAAAAGATATAGAGAGTGCAAATCAGAATTAGACTAACATTATTATCATTTAATGCATCATTTAAATACCTCGTTCCCATTCCAAAGGTCTCTTATTTTATTTAGCCTCTGCAGTAATCCAGCCAGAATTTGAATCAGTCTAGATTAGGTCTTAATACATTATTTATAGCTTTTCACTGGTGCTAAATTATGCATTTTCATCCAAACAAGTATAATAATTCTGTCAGGTTCGTGTGAAGGCAATTTTTAAATTCACAGCGAATTGTTATATTAAAATAATTTTTTCATATTTTTTCACAGACTTGAATCAAAGGAGCCTTTCCTGTCTGTTGGGTGAGTAAATGTTTAAAGATTTTAAATATTAATTATTTAACTCACATCAACAAGAGTTTCTGAGATGGTATTTTTAGTTATTTAGCCCCATATTCAAAATTGTAACATATTGTATGCAACATTGCTATCTATGTTTTATAAAGACAACTAAAATACTCCCTGGGCTGGGCTGTGTCCTCAGAAATTCAGCTAGTAAGTGTATAAGAAATCCTGTATCTTGCATAACAGCTAAACCAGGTAAACAGTGATTATCTATATTTTCATCATGTAAAGATATGCTTAAGTTGGTCTTATAAATTCTTCCAAGCCATAACTTCACTACTCCTAGTCTGCTGACCCATTTTTGTGCTCTATTTCTTTTCAATCTACTCTACTCAGTGTTTCTTCCACCTCCTTCTCTAAATCTATCTTCATCATCTATATCTATCTTTTCTTCTCTCTTCTCATTTCATTTTTTATTTCTCCATTTCATTCACACTGACTACTTCTCAACACACAAAACTGAGGAACCCTGAGGCAGATTTAGATAAGACTAGTAGTCATCTCTTCTGATGGTGTCCTTCTGAGACACAGTATATGTCCTAAGAATAATATATGATTGACAAAAATACACATTTACTATTTTCAGTCATTTAGAGCTAAGAATAAGCAACATTGTTTTTAATCTATCCACCAAATAATCCTTTGATTAATATATTCCAATGTCCTATAAAGGAATTTTTGCATTTTCAGTGCTGTTATTGATATAGTAAAGCATCAAACAGTGTTGGAAGACGTGAACTCTAGCTTAGAGATAATTATGCTCTATTTGTTGAGAAGAAAAATTGCATATAGGCAGCCACAGTACTCATGCTTAATGACCAGAAACATGGGATGGGGTTAGAATTTTAAATGATCAGATCAATTTTCTTTTATTACCTTGTTCGTGACCCTTGAATATTTACATCATTCATTGAGCAACATGGTTCCAATTCCTTTCTATGCCTCATCAAAGCATTTCAGAAAATCATTCAAATCATGAAAATCAAAATAATTGTTAGAGAGGTGGAAGAGAAAAATGGAGCTTGTACTTTTATCAGCAGACTTCATAAAAAATAAAAGGTCAGGTTGATCTGGTCCCCCAAAAATCATTAAAGCATGCTTTTTACTACATTGATCATCAGCTTCTATTGTTAAAAATCTCTAAACCCAAAGAAATCTTCTTATTTTGAATGCATATGTATCTGCCCTCAAGTCAAGAGAGCTGAAATAGCTTTGCTTCATGCCTCACTTAATGCAGTTTCTCTGCAGCCTTTCCTGTTCTTCTGACTACTTTGAGATGGAATTAATTTTTTTTTTTTTTTTTTGCATACCTCTGTTTTACAAGGGCAAACTCAAAGTAAACTTTGCTTTAAACTTATCAGGAGTTTAGCACTCAGTATTAGAGCCCTGAGAAAAACTTTCCAGTAGAGAATGATGAATAACTTAGCAAATGCTCATAGTGGGAAAATTGGTATTGCACTCATAAGATATTGCTGTTCTTTGTATATGTCTTAAATGAAGTGGGGTGAAACATGCAATCCAAATGTTTCTGCTGAATAGATATTTTAATTTATAGCTAAATTTTTCCATGTGCCTTCAAGAAAATTATTTTAAATAAAATTGCCCAAAAGTATGTAAGAATCTATCTCCTTCCCTGGTCAGTAAGATGATGGGATGAAAGTGAAGTAATAAACACATATAAGAGCACCAGCCACTAAGCAGTTTATTTATGAGAACAATTATTCAAATTTATGACTTTTAATGCATAGTCACATGCCTAAGGAAATAAATGCATGGTCTATGGTCTATAGTGTCAGTTGACATATGAGTACATAACATTGAGTTTGTCCTTTGCACATCTCACATACATTAGTTTTAATTCTTTGTTCAATAAAAATGTGTGAATTATATTAATGAATAAATCACTGCTAAATATTGCATACTTCTGTCTTTTGTCTGTTAGTGTCTTAATTTATTTGTTATTATGTACTTCTACAAGTTGCTTTCACCCTCATAGGCGCTGACACTTACAAACTAGCTGTATTCGTTTAGATAATTATTAAACTCCCAAGTTTCAGGTTCTTATTTGTGAGATGGAGATTAAATAAAATAACTTAAATGAAGCATTTAGCACTGTTCTTGGCAAGTAGAAATTGCTCATACTTCTTAGCTAGTATTATGGTTCTGGAAAGTATAGCCATGTACAATGCTCTAAAAAGTCAATCAGGGAGCTCTAAAATAGGTCAGAGACTGGAACTCCATTTAATAGACAGTGCTTTGAATTAAATGTGGAAACCAAAAAGAAGCTTTTACAATAGGGAAAAAAAAATGAAGATTGTGATGAAATGAGCTATCAAGCAAGATGATTGCTCCAGATTTTAATAATGAACATTAATAATTGTCATTTAAATTGCTTAAATAGAAATATAGATATATTTTTAATGAGCATCACTTTTTAATATAAATTAGGGGATGAAATTCTTCCCTGGATAAATGTGCCACACTAATTTTGAAATAAAAATTTTAAATGTCACAACATAAACTCAATCTGAAAATAGCAATGAAAAAAACTGTCAAAGAAACTTACAACAGACGACAATATTTGCTAAATAAGAAAGACAAGGGAATAGTGAAAGAGTTGAGTGAGCTGTCAGGTCTCTGACCTTTAACTATACGTTGATAAAAGAATGTTCCTTCATATGCACCAGGAAATGACTAATAAAACAAAGTCATTGGGGAAAAAACAATCTATAACTTCTTCCTGCCTCACTTAATGTAGTTTCTCTCTAATGTACCTAGAGTAAGGCATGAAGGCTCATCCCAGAGCGTGAGTCTGTTCTCCCAGGGTAAGCCAATAGACGCAGTGTTTTCCAAAGCTACTTAGATGATTCTGATTCTAGCCATGCCTGGGGGCTGTTGTTTATGTTGCACTTCCATCCTCTCCCATTTTTTCATACACAAGTTGTTTTAGTGGACATTTAACCATCTCTGGAATCACTTCAGAAAATCTTTAAAATATAACTCCTCACAGTCTTTTTCTGATTTGAATGCATATGGTAGAGATGGCCACATTGAACTAGAACTGTCTTGGAGTTCACCCATCAGAAACGAGGATAGATGCAAAGAGTCCAAAAACCAGTGCCATGGAAGTCTCTACACAGCCCATGCTAAAGTGCATAAAAGTCTCATTCTGATGTTTCCCTAGACATAAGGCTGAGATTATAGTAAATTTTAAGTTTCAAAATATCAAATAATGTAATTAAATATCCAGTATTTAATAAATATCTATTTGTTATTAATACCTTTTAGATCATTATAAATGTATCATATAAATTTATGTACATAATATATTTATTAAATATATTTAAATTTATTACACATATATAATATTAAATATATGTTTATATTATTATAAATAGAATAAATTAGCAAAATAAATTTAAATATTTAAATTCTTGCCCATCCTACTCACTTAACATTTTTTAAATGACCTTGTTTTTTAATGCAGGCTTAAGCTTGACGGCTAAATTAGTAATAAATGGGTGATATTCTGATCATCCTCAAAGCATTACATTTTAGAGCAATTAATAAACTCTTCTGGCAAATGATTTCTTTCAGTTGGCATCGAATACATTCTGATCTTGGAAATAAGCTGAGAGAAAACAGACATCAAGTTTGCATTTAAAAAAGTGATTCAGAACAGAGTAATCACCTTAGGTTCTAAGATACATACTCGTACTTTAGTTTAAAAACAGTCTTACCTTAAAAAAACTTTTTGTAGCTTTTTAAATGAAAACCACACACAAGAAAGAAGACTGAGCTTCCCATTGTAAAAGGCCATGTCAAGAAATGCATGGGGTCTCTTCACATACAATCACTAATGGTTGATACATAACTGATACTTTGCAGACACTGAGCCACTGTTAACATACACTCAAGGCACCAAAGGAAAGTCTCGATGCGAATTATTTCTTCTTACCTTTTCAGCATGAAGCTGACCTTTTTAAAAGAAGACTTTAATGTGACTCAGTTTTATTTTGAAACTGAAACTTTGATTTATACCTACTTTTTAGTTAATGAGTTTTTTCATGAGTAGTTTTATTATGAGGATGCTTATTTTACATGGGTAAAAAACCCCTTTTTTTCAATTTTTCACTGTATCAGAATAATTTAAATAACTCAGAACAACTTAAAAGTCATATTGATATATCTCAGAAATTATTTTCCAGTTTGGTTGGAAAATACTCAAGATTACATCAAGGATTAAACTACCAGAATTCACATATTTATCTCTACTGAGGCACTGGTTCAGTGGGTGAGCAGGTCATGGCCCAGCCAAAACTGGATTTTCTAAATTCTTTGAGATGTAAGGGACCTATTCTAAATCCAAACAAGAGGGAGTGAACACTGTCAGGGCTGCAAAGCTTGCCCTGCATCCAAAACTGATCCTCATAACTGCTAGCAGCTACATTTTGTGAAATCATTTTCCTTGGGTGATACTTTCCTCCTTTTCTTTCCAGTCTTGAAACTGAATTTGAATATTCAACATACATATGCTGCTATAAAAATTTTATTAAAACTTGATGTTTTTATCAGGTCAAAGATTCACCCCATTTTACTTTTATTTATGTTTTGTGGAGAAGTTGTATTTAGTAACAGATGCTATACATTATAATTCTATTAGCCACCTGCTTTAAGAGCCCAGTTTCTGTCATTTTATTTCCTTGGTTGGAATCTCAGTCTGTCACTTTCTAGCCAGGTGGTCTGGGTAATTTATTTAACATTTCTGAGCCTCTATTTTCTCACCTAAGATAGTAACTAGTTCTTATGATTGTTATGAATGAGATAATAATCAAAGTGCTTATAACAGTTTCTCAAATATGGTAATCAAGAAATAAATACCAATTATTATAAATGTTTGTTCAATAATTAGGTTATACGAGGGGAGCCCCCAAAACCCAGAATTTATTTATAAAAAA